TCCCCCCCCCCCCCCCCCATGTTAAATGAAGGGAGGAAATCTCATCTTACAAATTGAGTAAATACAGTAAATGGGATCATATTGTACGGCTGCTATTGACAGCAGCTCCCCACCCAAACTCAATGGCTCATAAGGTCCCTTCCAGTTCTGCACTCCTACATTTCTAAGACACTTACCCATATGATATCCACTTGTATGAGGCCCAGCATTGTCCTATACTCACTCACAAGTTGATAAAATGACTGTCACGGCAGGGTCCTACAGGAGGGCCATGATCTCCTTGAGGCCCCCCTCTCCGTGCCAAGTCGGCCCAAGGGCACCCTCAGATTCTCGCCCGCCACGTCTTGGCTGTTAGATAAAGTTGGGAGGCTGCCTCATGTCTTCTTGGGCACAGTTAGCTGGGACCTCTGTCCCCGTGTTTTCCTGGACCCACCGGGGGTCTCCCTGTATGATGGGTGCTTCCCAGGCACCCTAGCCTTTTGGGCTACGCATGGCTCCAACCAACTTCTAATACCACGCCCCAAGCCTTGCAGATGGGATAGATGTTGGTGTGTCTCTCTGTCCATATTCCTGCCCGTCTCTCAGGCCTTCTCTGTTGTGCTGACCCTTCCTGGGCTCTCCGAGCCCACTCGGGGCCTCCCTGTAATGTCACCCCCCTCTAGGGCATGCTACGCCCGCACTGGGGCTTCTCGATAGTGCCCCCTTTCCAGGGCTCTCCCCACGCCCACACTCAGGCTTCTAAAATACCGCCCCCTGTCTGGGGCTCTCTGCGCCCATGCTTAGGCTTCTCAAGGTTGCTCCCTTCCTGGGGCCTTCCACACCCACTCTGGGGACTTCTCAGCTACGCCCCTTGACTCTCAGGCCCACTGCGCTGCTACCCCCTTCTCCCAGGGCTCACCACACCACTACCCCCTCTCACCAGGGTTCACCGCACCACTTCACCCTTCTCCAGGGTTTACTGCAGCTCTAAGCCCTTCTTCAGAGGCTCACTGCGCCCACACTGGGCTGCTCAGTAGTTCCCTTTCTCTGGAGCTTGCTGTGCCTACACTGGGCTTCCTAATAATACTGCGCCCTCACTGGCACCAGGGTCCCCACACCACTGTGGGATCCCCCTGAGAATACTGCACCCTCACTGGCACTAGGGTGCCACACCCCTGTGGGTCCCTACAAGGCCTCCTCCAACCCCTAATAGCCTCACCCAAACCACCGGTGTAATAAACAACAACAACAACAACAACAACAACAACAACAAAACCACAAGCCCCTAGGCTACAACATAACTATATGCCACCTGGCTAAACCATGGTGATCAAACCTCTTCAAGCCACCCTCCTTCACTCAGTTAGAGCAGTTCCTGCAATGCTCACATCCTAGCTCCTGCCTCCCTGGCCACTGGCAAGGAACTGCTAGCCTAGCCTCAGCCCTGGGCTTTATGAGGGCCAAGCCCCACCCCTTCCGGCCAGCTGACTCTCATTAGTTGCCAGGGCAACCCACAGCTGTGCTCGTTATGTCCTGCTAGGGTTCTCTCTCCCTGGCAGTTTCCACGGGGCAGCGAGGTGTCCCGCGACAATGACTTACAAGTAAGTTCTGTAAGTGCATTTTTAAAAAGTGTAATATGTGAAATCCTCAAGCAACTGTTTCCTCTAGGCATCTTACATTAAATGAATTGTATTCAGCAGAAAAATCTCTTCCAACAAAGCTACAAGCAATAGATTCTATCATGTTGCTCTAATTGGTAGTTTATGATAATTTTCTCTTTGCATACAATTTCTTTCCCCTAAGATCCAAAATGTGTTGCTAGTGCCGGTGAAAGAGGTGCACACAAACTTCTCAAGTGTGGAAACTTGTGTGGAGTGCCTCATTTCATGCACACCTTTTTTAAAGACAACTATCAATGACAATAATCTGCAAACTTACCTCCAGAATTTCATCCTAACCTCTCAGTTTTGCCTGTTTAACTCTGACCAATGTTATCCTCTGTCAGATTTTAGAGTGGTTTGAGCAATGACCACAAAAGAAAGGACCATGATGTGGGTCATAAGTGTTATGCTCAAATGGTTACTTACTTTGGGATAAAACTTTGTTCCTTAAATTCTCCAGTGCCCAGCTGTCCTTCAGACCCAGCTCCCCAGGAAAAAACCTTTCCTTCATTGCTAACAGCTAGTGAGTGTTCTTTCCCACAGCTCACACGAGTAATAATCTGTGCTTCCAATGCTTGGACTTGTTCTTTCAGTGGAGCCAAAAATACAAGTTACAAAAAGAAAAGTCATGTTAAAAAAACATACCTTCTTACAGCAAAAGATTAGTTATGTGCCAATGCTCAATTCATAATGCAGTGGAGATTCCTAACATGATAAGAAGATACTGATGGGCTTCTACATGGAGTTCTTTTTCACATCTGGAAAGACCACAGTTAATACAGGACCATGCCTGTATGGGTTAATATGTGGCAAAAAAAAAGGTCCTCAGGTTTCTGAGAGATAACATAATGCACCTAGAAGAAAAATATTGTGGCAATGTTGTAAGAACTTTACAAGACTTTGATACTACAGAAATATTTAGTGATATCAGACTAAAATCTTAATTCACCTTTCCCAAGTTTTCTGTTCTTTTTCTGTATTTGTTCATTAGAAATTGTATAATGTTTTTATTTAAAAAGCTAACTTTTCGTCTTTGATACCAGAGACAGTTCATCATAGGTTCATAATACTCCAAACCATGGCATCCAAGATCTGGTTCCCCAGCAATCCACCAGATGAGCTAGCAGAAAAGCTAATATACAGAGCTGGAAATTTTCCTGGAAGCCATGATTCTGTAGGAATTCTGCATACAGTTCATCAAAGGTTCATGGAACTGGATATGTTGCTATGAAACATTTCAGGTCCTGACAAAACCAGGTCTAATCACTCAATTCTCAGTTCTACTTACAAACTAAGATACACATAGAGAGAAGGCCAGGTACCCTGGATTACCTGAACAAAAAAACTTGGAGGTCTGGGGTCTTAAGGTAAGACTGATCTGCCCCAAGTCCCAGCAGATTTGAAGAGCTGATCTGAAGTTTAGTTTTATACTGCTCTGATACTGGGGTGACTACATGTCGATCTGGTTCCCCCTGCACCAAGTCATCTCAATATGAAACCTTAATTACAAACTGACACTTTACCTACAAACTTGACCACTCAGGCCAATGCCAACTCACTGATGCTCCACTGGATGCTTCCTGGGTTTGTGTTGAAGGAATTTCAACTCATAATCATCTTCAGTTCTTTGAAGAAACCTCACTTCCTATGGTATCATGGAAACAGTGGACGTATGAACAAGGGCAGAGAGCTATTTATAGCCCACAGTAAACCACAAAACTTTCAGTTTACACAAACTGAAGAATTTATAATAGGCATTTCAAAACCATATAAAAAGGTTATTATGGATCCCTGTGGCATGTTTTTAACCCTCCTGTAAATCAGAGAAATTGAGAGCATGTGTGTAAAGATGAATAGTTTGGTATTATCAATGCAACAGTCCTCAAAAAGGAGGGATCCATGCAGGGATTTACAGTGTATAATCCAGTTACACTTCAACAGAAGTGTGCAAGACGGGAGGCAATCTGTACAAAAGAGATTATCGGCAGCCTTTTTTCTCATTACAGTGCCAAATATGGCTACTATCTCAGCCGCATAAAAATTTTCAGGAGATTTTTTTATTAAAACTGTAACTCCTCATGCACATATCTTCCTCAATATCACTAATATGTTTTAGCAGAGAATATATGTGTATACTTTATACCAAAAATCCAAACTGATGTTTTTTGATGAACTTGCTTTGCTTAATGTTTGCTGTTGTGTGTCCACTTTTCTAACGAAGGGCATATACATTTAGACTTCACGTGGTTTCACTAGAATGATTCTGACACCCTGTGGTTTGGATGTTTTTTATGCATAATCATATAGCAAAGTCTATGGGGCCAAATAACTACCAATTCCCTCTGCTTTAATCTTTAGGGACACAGCCTTTGGTCAACAGCATATCACTCTCTACTGAAAGTATGAGTCATCTTGTCTGCACTATATGAAACTTGACAACATTCCAGCAATAAGACGGTACCAGGGTGTGCCTGTGTGTGTGTGTGTGTGTGTGTGTGTGTGCGCGCGCACCCACATATATGTATATGCATTAGGGCTGTGCAAAGCTTCAGTTGCTGATTCAATTCAGAGGAGATTTGGCCAGATTTGGCAGCCAAATCAATTTAAAGCCTCTGAATCAATTCAGAAAAATTGATTCAGAAAAATTCAGAGAGATTTGGAGATTCGGACAGTCCCTGCTCGCCGCCGCAGGGAGCTAGACCTGTACTCTGTGCTGGTAAGTGGTGGGAGGAATGGGGGCTGGAGGAGAAAGGAAGGGACCACAGGGGGACCCCCCGCCAGGCTCCATCTCCTGCTTGCTCTCCCA